TACGTTAACTTTTCTCAAAAACTCTATTTACCACACTAAATTCATAAGTTAAAGGAACTAGAGAATATAGAACAGTTACGACAACAAACTTGTGGTGTTTACAAAACAATATAAACCTTCATTTGAATTGACAATGTGGCGTTCGATGTCATTGATGAGGTGTTGAATTGATAATGGCTATGTCGAATCAATGGACGGTAAGAAAATCCACTAGATTTCAAAACTGACGGTCATAAACTAGTGGAAAATTGTTATATGATATGGATCACTTGTAGAGGATAATATCTCTAAAATCTAATTACCACATTCCGATCAATCCACTTATCCTACACATTGCAGTTAAATGTCTTACAATGGCGATGACCCAACAAACATCGTTCTTCCAAACATCATTTAGCCTCAAGGGAATAGATCGACGGGGTTTTCTTTGCTTTGTTTGCTTCAGGTCGAACCAATAACAACCAATATTCGATAATCACAACATATCTCGAGATCGCACCATAGGATTTACATGATCTGACATGGAAATAAAAGCTAACACTCCTAACTATCTTATGGTAAAATTTGAGCTTAATCCAACGGTGGAAATGTCTCCATATGATATGAAATATTTGATGTTCGAAACTGTCTAATCTCCAGAAAAATGTTTTGTATCTTTTTTTAGTCCAAATTGTCTTTATGCTTAAAAACAAATTAAAAAGAAAAACAAATAAAATACATAACGAGTAGAGAGAAAAAATTCTATGAGGGATAAATGGTAGAGAGAAAAAATTCAGTAGAGAGAAAAAATAAGTTATGAAAAAGAAAGAATGAGAATTGTATAAAAGAAAGAGAGAACTTAGATATAAGATGTGAGGGATAAATGGTAATAACTAATAATTTTTTTTTTTAAACAGTAACAATATTTTCAAAGAAAAAAAAAACCATTAGTTTGCTAATTTTACTATAATTTTACCATTAGCGAATTCCACATTTCCAAATGTAATGTGACTTAGGAGCTCACATCTCTTTAACTCGAGCTATTGCTACTCCAATTGCTGAGCGAATTTCTCGAAAATATGATTGATGAAGTTGTTCATGATTCTCATTTCCCATACGAGATTCTGATATCGAAACTGTTTCAACACCTTGAAGCTATTGATCTTGTAGGTCTCAATTTCTTTTTCATCGTCTTTCCTTGTCGCCTCCTGCATCGTCTTCCTTCGGTCTTAGGTTTGTTCTCCGGTTCTTGTCTTGCCATCAAAGAAATGTCGAACCCTTTTTCACCGGTTCTCAAAACCTTATAGTGTTGGGTCAAAATTATGGGTTAGTAGGATACCTTGAGTTATGGACTAAATTCATTTTCTTGCTTGTTCATGGATTTCTTCTCTCAACAAAGCAGAATTTTGGACAAACGCTACAAGGAAGAAAAAATATTCTGAATAGGACCAATTAATCAGATCGACATCCATAGATACAAAGACAAGGGACAAAATCAATAAGACAAAATTTAGGAGCAAGGGCAAGAACAAAAAACCAATCTGAATCCTAATGACAAAGACAAGATAGGAGGTTTTACATGGACACATGTATTTAATTTGGCAACAAAATAATAAGGTTCCTAATGAAAACATATATATATTGCTATCGGATTTTGGTAAGAGCGGCAAGTCATTACACTAGATTCGATACGTTACACTAGTATATCTTCGTCTTCTTTGTTCCAATGCATTTCAAGATCGAGTCAATCATTTTGTCCCTCGAAGGAATTTGGACATTTCACAGTCATGCGCGGTTACCTCGAAACCAAGATGTGCCCGATTTTGATCGCTGATTACCATACAAATGCATCACTTCATGCATCGTTTACAAATTCCAATCATGGATTAGTTGTTTGGAACCGTTGAGGAGGCCAAGTCGAAGTGATGCGTTTTAAACCCTAAGAAGTATACGTATCAATGATACGGTATCATGTTTTCTTAGTACAACATGATATCATTGTTGTACGTGGCTACGTACACATGTTAGTTAAATAGATGCATGTTCAGCTAAACTAACAAAAGCCTACATCAATGATATCATTGTTGTGTCAAATGGCTACACATTTTAGTGCAACATTCATCAGATTAACCGAATCCATCAACCAAAAACCGAATTGGACCCCAAAACCAGAAATATAACGAGCGAACTAAACTTGAGACCAACTCGAGGTTTTCGGTCTTTTTATGATTCGAAAATACTCTCAAACGTTTACGATAAGCGACCTCAAATTCGTCTGTCAAAAGCTGATTGCGTTTTAAAAAAAAAAATAAATAAATCCCAAGACTTTACAAAATAAGAAAGCACTGAACCATTTCAACTGTTGACGTCTTACGAGTAATTGACCCAAAACTAATTACGAGGAAAATAAAACCAAACCCTAAACCCAAATTGGCTTCTCAAGTCATTAAACATTTACCACAAAGTGACTTCAAGTGTTCAAAAGATCCCACAAAAGCTTCAAAAGAAACATCAAAGGGGGTAGGTATTGAGTGAAGCATCATAAGACAGTGCAATAATCTGAAACAAGCTCTGAACAATACTTTCTCATTCAGACACTTCCCACTCAAAGCACAAACACCATCATAAAAAAATCTCAGACAACGTCTTTTAGATAAGATCAGCTACATTCATTGGCATCTCGTCAATCTGGGTACTGTAGTACTGCTCAATGTCCCGAAGGATCTTGATGTCGTCGCTTTTAACAAAGTTGATCGCAACACCCTAGAATGATAAACCGTAAAGTTGGTTAAGAAAATATATCCTTTAGTAACTCCGGCTTAAGAAATCTAGCTCAGAAGTAGTGTGATGTCGACAGTGAACATAAAGAATGCAGAAATTAGAATAAATTAGTTACCTTACGCCCGAAACGACCAGACCGTCCAATACGATGGATGTAGAGCTCACGGTTGTTGGGGAGATCATAATTGATGACAAGAGAAACCTGTAAAAGAAAGATTGACATGCCAATTCAACCTCTGCCATAATCTTAGGCACATAATCTGAGACCTTAATAACAGAGGAGACTACACATAAGTATGCAAAGCTACGACTTACTTGGTTCACATCAATCCCACGAGCCCATACGTCTGTCGTGATCAAAACTCGACTATCACCTGATCGAAACTGATTCATAATCTCGTCTCTCTCCTTCTGAGGCATGTCCCCATGCATTGATGAGACTGTGAAGTTGTTACTCCTCATCTTCTCACTTAGCCAGTCCACCTATAACAAAATGCAGAGACAGAGTTGAGCAAAACATTGAGAGGTTTCTAAAGCATAAGGATGGTACTACAGGTAGTAAGTAATCTAGAGCAATGGAGTTGTATTGTTAATTTTCTTTAAAAGTAAACAGCTACAAATATTCACAAGCGAGTATAAATTTATGAGGACGCTCACAGATACCAAATCAAGTTAGACGGCAAAGCTAGGAGGTTAATGTTAATAAAATGAGATACCAAATCACCTAACATATTTCAAATAACATGCAGATGCTGCTATTAAAAGTTCACTTAAAGACCATGATTACCTTTCGTTTTGTATTGCAAAAGATAACAGCTTGAGTGATAGTAAGTGTGTCATAAAGATCACAGAGCGTATCAAATTTCCACTCTTCCTTCTCAACAGCAACAAAAAATTGTTTAATTCCCTGAAAATAAAAAACACAAACGTTCGTCAGAGAAGTACTTGGACCCTACATCAACAAGTATAGAGACGCAGAAGAAGAAACATACTTCAAGAGTCAACTCATCACGTTTCACAAGTATCTTCACTGGTTCCGTCATAAACTTTGATGTCATCTCCAAAATCTCGTGAGGAAGAGTTGCAGAAACCAAGCAAACCTATAAACATAAGTATGATGTAAGAAATATCAAATAACACAAGGTTGTCATACTACATTAATAGCTAACACAATTTGCACACGGAACAATCAAGCAGCTCAACAGTTAACTGTCCTTTGACAGCTAGAAATTCTACCAAGCAGCCAAACTTATAAATATTAATATTGAGCAGTGAAATCGGACCTGAAGATCGGGTGGAAGATATCTGTAAACATCATAGATTTGGTCCTTGAATCCTCTGCTCAACATTTCATCTGATTCATCAAGAATCAGAAGTTTAATAGCTCTGGTACGCAGACTTCTCCTCTTTATCATGTCACAGACACGACCAGGTGTTCCAGACACAACATGGACACCATTCTCCAGCTTCCTGATGTCTTCTCCAACGCTCTTCCCACCGATGCATGCATGTGCCTGAATACTGGCGTGGTATCCCATAGTTTGTATCGTCTTCTCTGTTTGTGAAGCCAGCTCTCTTGTTGGGGACAATATCAAGGCCTGAACCCTGCAAATCAGAGAAACCCAAATGGATGAGAAAAACCTGCAAGAAGATCTTGTAGTGCCAGAATAATTCTCACAACTTTCCAAAAACACAATTCTATTGTATACCTTCTTAGAGATAACTCTCTAAAAGTCATAACAAAACGTGACGAAACCCCAGAGTGTCATTCTGATTGAACAATCATAATAACCAACTAGTCCAATACTTTGTTTATCTATTCTACATATCACACGATTATCCACCCGCATGAAACCCACCAACAAATAGCAAAATTGATCAAGAAAAACCTAATTACACAATGACACCAAACATCAGAACAATCCGAACAAAGCAGCCAAAATTAAAATTTGGAATTAGGGTTTTCCCCAGCAAAAGGGAACAAGACAAAAACATACTCTCTAGACGAAGTGTCAACGATTTGGCAGACGGAGAGAGCAATCATGGACGTTTTCCCGGTACCGGACTGAGCTTGAGCAATAACATCCCGACCTTGAAGAATCGGCATAACCGCTCTCTGCTGAATCGCAGAAGGTTTCTCGAAACCATAGGCGTAGAGACCACGAAGCACATCCTCTTTAATCCCCATATCATTGAAACTCGTGATTGGCTCGATCCCTTCCGTCGTCTCGAAGACTAACTTGTCGTCATCCACTGGTCCTCTCCTGCCACCTCCACGGCCAGAATTCGCCACGTTCGCCGTCGCCATAACTCTCTAGCTCAAATCTCCGGTCTCGATTTGTTGTTTCTCTCTCCTAGGGTTTACGCTCGTTTTTTCCCCCAAAAGCTTTTCTCTATAAAAAAAAAAGTAGCTGTCTGAGATAAAGCAAGTACGATTGTTAAATTCGACAATTTCTTTGGGCTTTTATGTCAAAAAAGAGTAAAAAAATACCGACTCTTATGGATATAATTTTCCTTTTTTTTTGTTAATGGGCCTTAGAGTTCAGCCCATATCTATATGAAAGTGGTAGTAGCAATTTTGCCTCAAAACGACCACACTTCATCACGAACCCAGCTTCATCAGAGAACCTACTTAGTAGATCGG